CAAAAGAGGTATGGATGTTACTGTCCTAATCTTAACAGGTACCTTGTGTCAGCTGATGTTACATTTCTGGAACAAACACTATTTGCTTCATCTTCAGGTTCTATTCGTCAGGGGGATGATGATTTATTAATCTATACTATTATATCCCCTAGTTCTCATCTTCCTTCCACTGCTCCTGTTAAGCCTCCTATACACCAGGTTTATTCTCGCCGCCATCTTCCTACTACTCCTGATCCAGTTCATGTTCCTACACCTCCTGCTTCATGTCCTGCACCAGTTCCTTCGTCATCGGATCCGGTTCCCAGTTCTAGTGATGATCTTCCAATTGCCCTTCGCAAAGGTAAATGTCAATGTACTTATCCAGTATCCTCTTTTGTGTCATATAATCATTTGTCACCATCCTCTTGTTCCTTTATTGCCTCTCTTGATTTTGTCACTATTCCTAAAACTGTTCATGACGCTTTATCTCATCCTGGTTGGCGTAATGCTATGATTGAGGAGATGAATGCTTTAGATGACAATGGTACTTGGACCCTGGTGCTTTTCCCTGCAGGTAAAAAGACTGTTGGATGTAAATGGGTGTTTACTGTTAAAGTTAATCCTGATGGATCCGTTGCTAGTTTGAAAGCTTGCCTTGTGGCTAAGAGCTATGCTCAAATATATGGGGTTGATTATTCTGACATTTTTTTTCCTGTTGCTAAACTTACGTCTGTCAGGTTATTTATCTCAGGGAGAGTATGGGAAAGTTTGCCATCTTCGTAAATCCTTGAATGGCTTGAAACAAAGTCCCCGGGTCTGATTTGGAAAATTTAGTCAGGCTATTGAAAACTTTGGCATGAAAAAGAGTAAGTTCGATCATTCTGTTTTCTATAAGCAGTCTGCAGCTAGTATCTTCCTATTAGTTGTTTATGTTGATGACATCGTTATTATTAGGAGTGATTCTGGTGATATCTCATCCCTCAAATCTTTCCTTCACAGTAAGAAAGAGATTCTCTTATCTCAAAGAAAGTATGTGCTTGACTTGTTGACTGACACGGGAAAATTGGGGGCTAAACCACGTAGCACTCCAATGGTTCTTAATTTGCAGCTTACAAAAGATGGTGAATAGTTTGAAGATCCTGAGAGATATAGGAGATTGGTTGGGAAGGTGAACTATCTTACTGTGACTCGTCC